AACACACGCACTGGTGACACAGGCTTTTTTCTCTCTCTCTCTCTCTCTCTCTCTCTCTCTCTCTCTCTCTCTCTCTCTCTCAATTTCCCTTCTTAGGCTGACTCAGAGCCCTAAATTCCCTCCTGCAAGCCATTTGGACTCAGCAGCAGCCAACACACCTGTCCAGATTTCTGGGACTTTATGACACGCCCCAGCACACACCTTGTAATTCCGCGCCATCTAAATCCAAAGAAGTTTTCCAGAAAATGCAGAAATTTCCCTTGTTTGCAACTTTTATGTCCTCTGATAAACATACTACTCAACCCAGATGTTGTTTTTCCTGTCTGCAGATCATATAACTTCTTCTTCTTAGTCTACTTGGCCCTCAGCACTTTGACTGAAACAAGTCCCCCCCCCCACAAACCCTCAAAATAGATGTTACCATTTTAAGAGCAATGGGGTCAACTGGGAAGTTCTCTCACCATCTTCTATAGAATGACAGCATCTTCTGCCCCAAGGCCAATTGGGGGTGGGGCAACCCCACTTTGGCAGGATATCAGCAAGTTAAATGAAAGAAAAGCCAATGGTGCATTGGCTAGCGCCTGTGACACCACTGACACATTTCAGCATCCCAATGGCAGACTTACATCTACCCCAAAGTGTGTGGGTGACATTTTAATTTTATTCTTATGGCAGACATTGTACCTGAAGTACAAGATGAAGGGCAAGATTCATCTGGAAGCATCCAGCTTAACTGTGTAAGGTAAGTGAAGAGGGCAGAAATTGCATCAGTGCACAAGAAGGTCTTAATGTATCCTCATTTCACTCAGAGATACTCTGCGAAACCATAAAATCCCACCAGCCCCAAAGACGTCACAAAACCGTGTGAACTTACTGAGCTGTAGAGGTACCCCTCGGCATTCATGGCCACGTAGAGGCCGGCTTTCACACCTTGGATGGCCACCACACGAAGCCCCACAGGAATCAGATTGAAGAGGGCTAGGAAGAGAAAACAAGGGGATCAACCATGAATCGAGTGGTGCTTCAGGCATGGGGGGGGCAGTCACCTAGTTCAGCACCCCAATACCATTCAGGCCGTGCCGCCTGCTGGCGCTCTGTGCCCCTGCGCATTATGGGATTAACCTCTCTGATCCCAGCCGAATTACTCCACACAGAGGCCAGAACAGAAACAGAGGCAGGCCGGACGAAGGCAGCAAATCTGCCCACCTGGCTTTTCAACTGGTTTGCTGTTGAGGACGAGGTCCCTTTGGAAGCCACTGGAAGCCGCGTATTCTAAGGAAACGATGCATGCAGATCGAGAGCCCTGTCTCTGCCAATTTGCCAAGGCCCTTTTCCTACCCCCTTATTTCTGTATCAAACAGAGGCGTCCCCGGCTTCATGACTTTTGCCGGCCACTCTCCAAGGGGCCAGGAACAGACCGGTTCAGTCATGCCACCATTCCTGCTGTCACATAGAAGGAGAAATTGGGAGGGGGAGGGAATGCTCGAGCCGAGTTCTTCCTTGTCTAAATTCATTCCACTTGTGTCATTTTAATAAACACCCATCCGATCCACATTTGCACACTCAGGGTGTGTTTTGCATGGTTTACAATGGAACTTATTTCCATGTTTTTACCGCTGTTCACCCAGGCAGCTCATTGTAGTAGAAGAAAACTAGTAAGCAGGGACGTTTCCTTCTGAAGAGACCCAGGATCCTTGCGTTGCTTAAGCCTCAGTGACAGACAGATTCACGAATTTCTTTTATAAATGAATGATATGGAGATGTCTGCTCAGTTTCCACCCTTCTTTTCAAAGGAAAAAGCCAAGCGTGCTGCTTATATATCGCCCCATAATGCTTCAAGCACTCTCTGGGTAGTTTACAAGTTAATGATGCAGGCGACACATTGCCACCCCACCCCACCCCCCACGAGCTGGGGACTCATTTTACCGACCTCAAAGGATAGAAGGCTGAGTCAACCTTGAATCTACCTGGGATTGAACCCCGGATCGTGAGCACAGTTTTTGGCTGCAGTAACCACTGCGCCACGAGGCTCAGTTTAAAGTAATATAGGACTGGCAGTTGAACAAGGACCCGCCAACCTATTTATTTATTATTAAATTTATACCCCACACATCTAGACTGAAGTCTACTCTGGGTGGCTACCCTTCTGTTGTTGTTTAGTCGTTAAGTCATGTCCGACTCTTCGTGACCCCTATGGACCAGAGCACGCCAGGCCCTCCCGTCTTCCACTGCCTCCCGGAACTGGGTCAAATTCACGTTGGTCGCTTCTCAGACACTGTCCATCCATCTCGTCCTCTTTTGCCCTCTTCTCCTCTTGCCCTCACACTTTCCCAACATCAGGGTCTTTTCCAGGGAGTCTTCTCTTCTCATGAGATGGCCAAAGGATTGGAGCCTCAGCTTCAGGATCTGTCCTTCCAGTGAGCACTCAGGGTTGATTTCCTTCAGAACATATAGGTTTGATCTCTTTGCAGTCCAGGGAACTCTCAAGAGCATCCTCCAGCACCACAATTTACACCTAGCCCTCTTCAAATGCCCAAAAGTCAATAAATGCGAAGAGCCTCCCCACCCACTGCTCTTCCTCATCTTCGAGTCACCTCCGAGGAAGTGGAAAGCAATGGGAGTGCCCCAGAGGTCCGCCAGATAAAATTTAGCTTCCCCTCAGCAGTTTTGCTAGGGTCTCTCTAGCTCTGGTAGGTGATCAGAGATCAAGATATTTAAACTCTAAACAGGATTTTCCTGGATTTGCCACCAGACATGCAAAACGAAGAGAAGAGATAGATATATATAAAATAAACCTTGTTCCAACTAAACGTCCCAAAAGGACTGTATTTTGGGCAACCCCGTGGTTCCAAATAGGAGGAAATCTTCAAATTTCAAATGTATGCAATTTTTAAAGACGTTTTAGGCACTCTTTTTAAAAGCACATCATAGGTTTGGCCAGAAGGACAAGTAAACTTTGTGAAAAATGACCCTCCTTGTTCCAAGTCAGCTTTTTTAGCCCAGGCACGAACCCGTTCCCAGACCTTTCCTGCCACAGCCGGAGCCCAAGCCTAGCAATTAAACAAGTCTATTTATAAGCATTTTTGACTAGGGAAAAAAATGGAGCGCATCACCACAGATAATGAAGGTAAATGGCCGCCATCACTCACTCCCGGGCATCCATTTGTCTTGCGATGAAGGCCTGCCTCGGAGATGACCTCCCTGAAGATCAACAAAAGGAGGACCTCATGGCAGGGGCCACTTTCCGCCTTTCCCACTCCTCGGTTTTCAACTCAAGGTCCCACTGAAAGCAGAAACACGAGGCCCCGGCTGTCACAAAAGGGGTTCCCAGCGCTTCCCTGGTGCTGACCACGCAGAAGCTGCTCGTCCGAGGGAGGACCGTGGTGGCAGAAAGCCCTCCACCCTGCTGATGGTAGGCCAGGCGCCGTTTCCGTGATCCTACGCTCATGGCCAGTAAGCCCTCGACGTAACTTCTTGTCTGATCACGACAGGCCCTCGTGGGGCATGAGATTCAGGTTCTTCTTTACACAAGAGGCAAGGAGGGAAATAAAACAATTTCCCCGAACCGCACTTTCATGAAGAATCTCCATCAGATCGGTCGGAGGTGCGGCTTCTTCTTCTTTCACACAACCACGGACGTTGGCTTGGCCAAAATCCATCAGCGTTCATGTATTTCTTGCTGCAACCCAATCCCTCGGATTTGCTCCCTCGGGTATTCTGCACACTGCCAGCAGACGGGGTGGCAGAGGACTTCCTTTATTTACCTCAGCTTCCTTCTCTCTTTCTTTGTATCAGAGCACTGCACATTTTAAAATTATGGATGTATAAGAAATATAGGTAAAATGAAAAACAAATTAAAATGTCAAGATTATTAGACTACAGTATCTTTGACCAGAAGTGGGTGACTTCAACAGTGTTATGCCAGCCATCGGCTAGGTCTTCTTTTGTATAGGTGGCCAGGCATAAATAGTATGCACATTAGGTGCTGCATGGATTGAAGTTCTCCACAGTCACGGAAATTTTGTCCTATATCCAAGTAGCCCCATTTTACTTGATTCTTCTTTGATCTTTACCGGGTAGGTGGGGCTCGTCAGCCTTGGAAGGCAGCCCATCTAGAAGGAAAACTCCGACTTCAAACCTCCACTGCCTTGTGGCTATATCCACTCATGGAAAGGGCTTCAGGAGTTAACCTCGAGGCAAAATCCGGAGCTGGAGTCCCAAAGGCAGTTCGTGTCGTTCTGCCAACTCCTGCGACATTGCTGGCACCAGTTGTATTGGCTCTTGCCTTTCCATTGGACCATTTCAGCAACGTGGAGAGGGGGGATTTGCTGCTTGGGTAACAGCCTATCCTCCATATTACTTTACCCAGGCTTCATGCTCTGGAGAGGTCACTCCTCAATACAGAGCACGTTACCATAGTCTCTCGAGACTGAAGGATGCCTATGCTCTTTGATCTTCCTACCTCAGCTAGCCTTGGTATAGATCTCGTGTGATGGTCTGACTGGCTGGCGCATCCTTGTGGTTCAACGCACCGAGCTGTGGCGTCTCCTTCCAAAGGTTTGGGGCAACTAAGCCCAAATAGCAAGTCCTGAAACAGCCGGGTGAGTTGTAAGATGAAGAGAGTTGGACAAGGGAGTAAACTCTGAAGAGGGAAAGAGCCTGAACGGACTCAAGAGGAGGAGGAGGCAGGCAGGTAGGCAGGCAGGCAGGCAGGCAGGCAGGCAGGCAGGCAGGCAGGCAGGCAGGCAGGCAGGCAGGCAGGCGAGGAAGAGACGCAGGGGTGCTTCCCCCCTGCCGGCTGAAGAGTCGTTTGCTTGCTGAGGCGTCTTCCTAACCATCCGCTCAATCAGACCCTCGTCTCACGCAATTTCAGGGACTTCACTGAATTAGGTGATTGTTTTAGTGCTGCTTCAGGTTTTATTGCTGGACCTCACCGCAGTTTGTAATGCAAGATTACAAACTATGAACTGCCTTAAACGAATGAGTAGCAGTAAACCGATCAGGAGCTGGCAGGCAGAAATTCTCAGAACCAAGCTGGGTAGCTTGGCCTCAGGACCCAGGCAGTGGGTTTCCACAGGCTTATGGGTCGTGGAGGCACCGAGCAGAAGCGAGGAAGGCGGGAGACAGCATGGCAAAGCCAGAACATAAAGCTGAGGGAGAAGGAAGGAGCAAAGAACTAGTCTTCTCAGAGGAAAAGGAGGGTGAGGGTGAGGGAGTCCACACACACCCCCCAGCACCACTCCCAGACCACAGGGCATCTCTGGGGTAAAGGGCATGTGCTGGACACGGGGATTCTGGGCAGGAAGGCTGCCTGGGGAGCTGAGCTCCCGGGAGGCCAGGTGCTGATCCAGAAGGACGCCTGGAACCGAGCGAGATGCGCAGGCGAAAGGCATCTCAGCACCTCAGAGATCCTGCATGCACAGCCTTGGTCTACACATAGGATCTTCCACACTTGGTAAACCACAGACCCTGAAGTTTAATCCAGAGCTTGACTAAGGACCCCTCTGGCTGGCTGGTGGTGGGGGGGGAGAGGGAGGGATTCTGGGAAGCTGTACTCCAAAAGAAGTAACTTTTGCATTTCCTGAGCAGCCCAAGTGAGGAGTACCGGGACACTCCTGTGGTGAATCTCTGCTGGTGAAGAGGCCAGGTTGAAAAGGACTACTCTGCGCATCCTCTTCCAACCTTAATTGTCGGATCCTCCTCTGGAAAATTTGCATTTTAAATGGCAATCAGGTTATTTTTAACTAGGTTTCAATAAGGAAAGCTGATCTGGCAAAAAAAGAAAACAGAAATTCAGTTTATCCTCCCGCGGGACAGTGCTGCATTTTCATGGAAAAATAAGAAGAGGGAGGAATGGAGCATGTTTTAGCCAGCTCAGGAGGTGGCCTTGTGGAAAAGGAACAGCTCAGGGCAGCAAACCTAGCCCTAACCCTAATGGTTAACCCTTTCCACCCTGGGGTCCCTTGCAGCTCACCATGGAAGCAACCCTTCAATGAGTAAACATCACACAAGTGCCAACTCTACCTGCTCGAAACAGGTTGCCCCCAAATGGCGACCGCCAGGGACAAGCAATGGGCAAGGGTTTGGGCACCCTGCCTTTTCTTCCCAGCCACAAATACCCATCCGTGGCACACATGAACCACAGGCGGGGCACCGAGGAAAATCAGCTAAGATGAAATCATGGATGATGTTGATGACAATTTGTTTTTTAACTATAGCAGCAGAATGCATAGCTTGAAGGACTGCCTTTTTTCTTTATTGCCTTCATGTTCTACAGTTCTTTTAGCAAAAAAAAAAAAAAAGCACACACACGTAACACTGCAAACATTTTCTACAACATTGCTGTCGTTGTTGGTGGTGTTTCTTCCACATCATTTCTAATGCCTTTAAATCTTAATGCAAGTGAGAAATATCATAGCAGGAGGCCTGTAAACACATAACTGTCGTTGTTGGTACAAGTGAACATTTTATTATTCTTTTCCCCCCCTTCATTATTCTTTAATGATGGGAACCAGGGCTGTTTCAATAGAATAGAATTATCATCATCATCATCATCACCATCACCAACTTAGAACTGCAGAGCTAAGAATCACTGAGCCCAGCCCCACTCAAGGAGGCCCGGGGAGGGGGAAATCAAACCCCCAATTTCTGGCTCCGCAGAGCCAGAGACTTGGAATGATCGGGCAGTTCTGGCAGAGCATCCTTGCAAGGGACTGAATGGCCCACAAGAACCATCAAGGTATCCAAGGACCAAGAGTGGGAGCTTCAAGGAATGTCTGGATGAGACCCTTTCCGGGGCCAGCTGTGCTGTTCTTGGCCCTCTGCGGCCGTCCCCTTCTTGGGTCTGTACTCCCTTCCCCAGCCTTCCCCACTTGCGCTCGGGAGAGCTCCGGCTTCCCTTCCCTTTCTCGGAAAGAGCTCAAAACTGTTCTTTGATTCGGGGAATGTTTTCCTCCTTCTACCTCCAGGCAGCAGCAGCTGCCACCTGGGGTGGGAAGATGTACGTGTGTGTGTTTGTGTGTATGTGTAGGCTGGGAGTGAGAAGGAGGAGGACACAGAACCTTCTTTAGAGGGGAAATACCAACACAGGAGCACCCAGGGCAGGAGACGGCTGCCTTCGCTAGGAACTGAATGCTCCCCATACGGGGGCCACCATCAAAGTGGGGTGTCTGTGCCATAGGGCGAGAGGAGGCAGCGAAGGTGGTCAACCATCAGGAGACGGGAAGAGGGACACTCACTGTAGTCACTGTTTTCATCTTTGGTCCCATCGATCGCCCCATCTGGGAGCATCTGTAGGAAATACCCCTGCTGGCTGAATAATCTTGTCACGATGCCTTTCAGCTGAGGTTCTGCAAAAAAAGGAGAGAAGGAGAAAAAAGGGGGGCTAAGTATGACCGGGTGAGTCTTTCTAGCCCACGGTCTGCTCCAGAAACTCCCCTCCCCTCCAGACCTTGCATCAAAGGGCCTTCTTTGGACCACAGCAGCCAGGATCCAACCCTCCAAACCCAGCACAGAGGTGGCTGGCTGCGCTCTACTGATCTTGTCACACCAAGATGACAAAGAAAGAGAGTGAAGGACCAGCAGGTGGAACAGACGGGAGGAGGCAGGATCCCCGGGGATCAGAAGCAGATTTAGCATCTCCCAAACGTCTCCCATAGATGTGAATGGCTCCCACTCACCCTGTGGGGCAAAAGAGACCGTTGCAGTCATCAGAAAGCATCGCTGTAGAGGCGGAGCGTGGCCTCTGCCTGAGGGACAGACGGCACGGAGTGATAAGCTCCCACTGGGACCAGCAGGGGCTGGTGACCCCCGTCGATTGCGGGCAGTGGAGGCCGGCTGTCTTGAGTCTGAGTGCACACTTTACAGGAGTTATCCCGAGCGCTGCACTCTTAAGGCCAATTAGACTCAGCACCTCGGAGAGCTCCTTCCGATTCTGAATGCTCTGGCTGAAGACCAGAGTCCCCAGCTGCCGCTGGCTGGCATCCAGGCTAGCCTTGACGCTTGTCTGGGGTGGGCAGAAGACCAGCTGGCTCTGGGCTTGGCAGGGGGGCACTGAGAGCGAAGGGTGGGAGTCATGCCTGCTCTCCCTCCCCACTCCCACCCACCCTAAAATTTCCCGGGGTGGTGGTGTGTGTGGCAAACGAGGGAGGCTATGATGAGGCTTCAGCCAAGAACTCCGCGATTCACAGCAATCTGCCTTCACCATTGGTAACGCTCGCATACATTGAATGGCGGATCCCAAACAGCTCAGGGGCAGCAACAATGCAGAGCCAAGATGGAAAATCTCCAGCCAGAGCTGTGCTCTTTCCTTGATGCCCTGGAAAGCTAACCCAACGAAACTCTGGACCTGCTGTGGATCAATACACAGTTAAGACCTGGCTCTGCGGCATGGATGGGCTCAAGTCCCACCCGCCCAACACAGGGTCCAAAGCGGACGTCAGCACATGAGCACATACCGGTCTCCAGTATATGCCACCATTGAGGGAAAAGTCCATAAGAGGCATCTCCCCAACGTTCTGCACACATACGCTCCAGGAACTACGAGAGATTATTTTTGCAATAAAAAAGTGAAAGGGCTCACTCAGAACAAAAGCTTGTGGCCAGAGAAAGGCTACAGAATGAGCTTGAGCACCTTGGGACGCAGCCCGCCGTGCTCTTGAGTCGCTCTCCCTCATTCCAATGGGAGAAGCTTCCCACGGGCTGCGCATCCTTTGCTCTCGGGAGCAGAGGAGCCGTCCCCATTAAAAAAACCCATTAAAAGACAGCACCACCCTAAATGCACACCAGATTTCAGAAGCTAAGAAGGGTCAGACCTGTTAAGTCCTTGGATGGGAGACCACCAGGGAATTGCTTGGGATCAGTGGTGATGGCGGTGGGGGGCTTCTAAAATCACGAGATCACCCCGAACACAGCAACCTCATTTCATTTCAGCAGCTAGACATGACTTGGCTTGGTTAGGAAAGAAAGTGAGATGGAAGGAAGGAAGGAAGGAAGGAAGGAAGGAAGGAAGGAAGGAAGGAAGGAAGGAAGGAAGGAAGGAAGGAAGGAGACACCAAATCCCTGAACTCAGCAGGGGGCAGCTTCCTCCCTTGCAAAGATGATAGTCATGAGGATGATGTTTTCTATCAGGCAAAGTGCTCCAGATTTTCTTGCTTGGCAACTCCCACTGGCCACCGCCAGCACAGTCAAAAGTAGAGAATGGCAGGCGGAGTGGGGGGTAGGGGACAGCTCTTCTTTATATAATAAGGCCTCATATATTCTCTGTGTGGGCGATGGACATGAATGTGGAATTTCTTCTGCATTTTTTTCAATGCCGTAACTGTGTGTTCAGTTGTTGAACACTGCCAAGAGGATTCTGTCAAAAGGAAGTGAATACATGTATTTTTATTGGTTCTAGTATTTTCAGCAGGTTGCACATCCTTTTTTTTAAAAAAAAGACAAGACAGAGAGAAAATAACTGCAAAGCATTTACAAATATTTGCATTTAAAAAGTGGGGAGGTTTAATTGAGTTAATTTGGCCCTGACTAATGCAAAAATAATGAAGGGGCACAGGTGGCGGCAGAAGACAGCTATGCTGGAAAAGGTTCCAACTCTGAATGTCGCTCCAACATTTATCACACAGACTCCAAAAGAAGCCAGAAGCGCCATCTTTCCTAGTATCCAAATAAACCAGTTGGGATGCGTGGAAAAGCCTTAGAAGTACGTTCTGTATCATTTTTTGTAAATCTGTTGAAGAGCATATTTAGCTGAAGAGGCACAAAATAACCACACGTATAAATAAAGCCAAACTCTTGCCACTCCGGGCAGGGAGAGAAGGGTCCCCCCAGCCCCAAATTCAGCCTGCCCTGGGCTGTGCCGCTCATATGGTTGGGAAGGCCAGCTGTTTAACTGTGTTGTCTCTACTCCATCTGCAGAATCTACAGTTGCATCACACAATATTGGTGCCTTTTGTTGTTGTTACTTGCAATCCTTCTGGAGTGGAGGGAAAGTGCTCGACTAGATGAGTACAGTTCATCTTAGTTCAAAAGCAAACCAGGAAAAAATATATATATACAGAGACATGGTGGCACCTCAAAGACTAATTGCTGTATTTTGATGTAAGCTTTCAGGGACAAAGAAGTGGACACCTGTGGCTGAGTACGTGGACTTCTCCAAGGGAGATCAGATTAAAATACAGCAGTTAGTTTTTAAGCTACCGCCATGTCTTGATCTTCCATATTTTTCTTTTGTTTTTGCCTGAGACGCTACTGCAGAATAACACAGCTGCCTTTTCTAAAACTACAATTAGGAAGCATCTGAAACACACGGAACGTACAGAGAGAGGAGGTGGAAGACTAACAAGATGAAGCAGTGGAGGAGAAAGCGGAGGAGAGGACAAGCATCAGGGAGGAAGCATCACATGGAAAAGAGTCACCGTTAGGCACTCAAGAAGGAGAAGACACGCTTCCACAGTGGGACTGCAAAACCCCTTTCAGATTCTGGAAGAGGAGTCGGGCAGAGAGTCTGCAGAGGAGAGCCCACCGGAGGAGCCAGGAAGGGGTTAAGGTCAGCCAGACACGGTCAGGGAACCCACCCCCTACAAAAAGTGGAAGAGAAAAGTAGGGGTCGTAGGAGACGCCCTACGGTGAGGGATTGAAACGGAAACATGCTGGGAAGATCCAGGGACCCGCCAGGAAGGCTGTCTCCCTGGAGGAGAGAGGAGGGATGTGGCAGAAGGCCTGCCACCCCTCATAAAACCCACAGAGGCATCTCCCTTTCCTCTCATCCACATGGGAACAAAAGGCACAGCCACAAGGAAGTGTCAGACTTGGAAGCCAAGCTTCCGGGAAGATGGACTGCTGAGGAATGGATGGGTTGCGCCTCACGAGGACTGGGAACAAGGTGTTTGGCGCAGCATGGAGAGCGTCCTCCGGAAGGCTTTACACTGAATTGGAAGGAGGGAGACGCAAGCACAGAGGTCAAGAGAGAGGAAGGCTTATATACCCAAAGAGGAACAGACTGAGCACCTCTAATGAGGCCCAATAATAATCTCCCCCCAAAAAATGTGGGAAGGAAAGCAGGTCACAAACCACACCGTCTCTGGTGTCTATACACAAACGCCAGGAGCACAGGAGACAAAAAAACAAGAATGGGGAATCCTCGTTCAGGAGGGCAAATATGACCTGATGGGGAATAACTGAAACTTGGTGAGATGATGCCCATGATGGGAATACTGCTATTAAAGGATACAAATTGTTCAAAAAGAGCAGAAAGAACAGAAAGGGAGGTGGAGCTGTACTATATGTCAAAAATACATATTCCCGCACAGAAATACGTATTGCAATTTTCTCCTACAAAATGTGGAGAAAGAAACTAGAGGAACAGCTGTCCAGGATTTGATCTTGACCGATAGAGATAACTTGGTGGAAGGAGTGGCAGCAAGAGGAACTCTATGGGGAAGTGACCACGTTGCACATTTCTTGAGTTCACAGGAAACCAAAGCAGAGTGCGGCCACAGGCATACGCTGGGCTTTAGGAAAGCCGATTTTAATAAACTCGAGAACATGGATAGGAAAGGAAATCCTAAGAGGAAAAGGCGTTCAAGATGAGTGTTCAAAAGGAGTGTTCAAGATGAGTGTTCAAAAGGAAATTCAAAACGCAGTGATAAATAAGAACAAGGGGAAAAAATGGAAGACAGCAAAAAAGAGCAATGTGGCTTCACAAAAAGCTCAGAGAGGACCTGGAAACAAAACAAAACAATGTATAGAAAGTGGAAAGAAGGCTGGGGCACAAAGGAAGAACACGTGCAAGTAGCAAAGAATTGCAGTGATGGCATTAGGAGGGCAAACGCTGAGAATGAGCTGAGGTTAAATAGAGACACTAAAAGCAACAAAAAAGCATTCTTTTTTTTTTTAAAAAAAGTTATTAATTAAAGAAAAACAATAAGAACAATACTAACATAAAATGTGTATACATACATGCAGTGATACAAACATTTCCCCCCTGTGCCACCATCACCCTCAGGACCAGATAAGAAAATATTTCCTTTTCATCTCTTTTCACCCCATTCCACTTCAAAAATACACTGATTCTTCTGTTGGCTCAAAAAAAAAAAGCATTCTTCAGGTACATGTGTAGCAAAAGACAGAGAAAAGAAACAGGGGTTCAGCGAGGATCTGAAAATGATACCATGCTACGAAGAAAGGGCAAAGGTGCTCAATTCCTACTTTAGGAATTTCTTTCCCAAAAAGACAGGCTACGAACCTCCAGACTAATGTGAAGTAGAAGTGGACGGGATAAGATTGCAGCCTGAGATTGATAAACAGTCAAGGAATGCCTTACTATTTTAAATGTTCAAATCTCCAGGACCAGATGGACTGCATCCAAGAATACTGAAGAACTGCTCAAAGACCACTGTCCATCATTTTCTTGAAATCATGGGAAATGGGTGAGGTGTCAGATGACTAGAGGAGGGCTAATGCTGTCCTTATCTACAAAAAGAGCAAAACGGAGGAACCTGGGAACTAGTCAGCCTGATAATCCCAGGCCAAATTCAGGAACAGATCGTAAAGCGGTCATCGTGCAAGCACCTAGAAAACAAGGCAGTAATAGCTAGAAGCCAACATGGATTTGTCACGAACAAATCCTGCCAGACTAAGCTGTTCTCATCGGAACAATCTCCCTCTGGAGATTCGTGCAGCCCCTACGCTGGGCATCTTTAAAACCCAATTAAAAACAT